TCCACCACTAGCGTCCCAATAAAAAAAATCTGACGAGTTCCATGTCAGAGGGCTCGAAAAAGAATAACATAGTTACTCCCATTGGGGGTGAAGATAACACCCAGTTTTTCCAATGGATAAGGACTGTTCATATTGCCGATAGAAAAGTGCTCACCGAATTTCAGATCGCTAGGTTTTGTTTCAACTGAGACAGAAATTAAAAACCAAAAATGTATGCGAACCTTAACACCCCGTATAATTAAAACATGTTTCTCCATGACAAAACAGAAAAATACGTATCTAATATTTTGAGTTTTGCTATCAATTGTCAAAGTTAGACGAGTAAAACCTGAGACACCCTGTATATGGCGTTGTTTATTACACAATATAAATTCTGTTTATACAAACCAAAAAATTCCACTCATGTAGTAGTTATTTTTCTTCCCCTGTAACAATGCATTTTGATATTCCATTTGCATTTGTCTTCAATCAATAAATCATGTATAGGTGAGTGCAAGCCATTCGAATAGCAGTATTTTTCTGTAAAAAATTCCCTTTCGGTTTTTTCCTGTCTTGAACTGTTTTTTCTGCCTTTCTATCATTCAGATTCGTACTTTCGAATTATATTTTTGCAGTTGAGTTTATACATACCACTAATTTATGCTCATATAGGGTATACCGGGTATATTCTTTTGAAAACATCTCACCCCTACATTTTTGAGGGGCTGGCGGCTGGCATCAGTGAAGGCAAAGGGGATGAAACGAGCAAGGTGATTTTTACGTGAAAACATGTCCTCCTCATAGTTATTAGTGTAGCGGGACACAAGGGTAAAGTAATCAAAAAAAATTTTGGAAGTAGGAAGATATATCAGACCCTCACTATCCTATCTAGAAACAATTGACTACTTTTTTCTATGGTACCGCAAAAAGTTACACTACACTGTTTTACCACTAACCAAACCGATTTTTTAACGCCTCGACACGTGTTTCGCTAACTATATTAGCATCTTCAGGAGAAGATTAAAATTTCAATCTTCTCCTGAAGATGCTAATATAGTTAGCGAAACACGTGTCGAGGCGTTAAAAAATCGGTTTGGTTAGTGGTAAAACAGTGTAGTGTATTATCGTGCCAAAGGTTCCAGTCTTCGATATACCGAAAAAAGTTATAAACGAACAAACTCAAAAATTACAAAAAAAATCTACTTCGCATGTAAATGTATATACCTTTGTAACTTGGAGACTACATAACTTAGATGCCTCAACTTCTCATCATTTTGTTGAGGATATTATGAAGATTCGATCCATGGTATATAAATTGAGTTTTTATATGTGAAAATAAATTTTTTGTCACGCATTACATGAGTAATTTAGCATTAACACCTCTTCAATTGATAATAACTTTCTTTTTCACGATATGAATTTCAATTTTTTTCTCCCATCTAGATAGATTGAAGTGTAACGAACAATTTGTTTCGAATAAACTTTTCGCACGTTTCAAAAATAAACTTTTTATAGCGATTTGAATGACAACGTGCAACTTTAGATAGGTCATGCACAGTGAGTGAGACAGAGTGCAATAGATACCGGTGCATGAGTGCGGAACGAAGATGAAATAATATCAAGAGCTCCATCCACAGATATGATGAATATAATAGATTTATATCGATAAATTCACATATTTGCTCGCAAAGAATGTCAATTTTAATATAAAACATTCAATCTAACTAAAATTTATCACAAATTCCTCTCAAAGACTCTGAAAAAGTTTTTTATTATAAATATACCATATTGGTATACTATAGTTTGTCCAGCTGTATAATGTTGATCAATTTTCTTAGGGAACTCATGTTTGGAAAATTCTAGCATCTCCCAATATCTTCTTGGTATTTTTTCTTTACCATTTTCACTTCGTTGCCTTTGAAGTGAATTATTTTGGGACCATATTTATGAACTGAAGTTATTTACCTACATATTCAACCAAGAACGCTCCTTTCTCCATTCCCAAATGAGACAGTTATCCTCCCCGAATCTTTACTGTTTGTTCTTGTCTAGAGCACGTAAACGCCGCTGTATCGTTCTCACTCGTGCGCTCGGATGGCCTCTTACGTATTAGACAATAAATGCTTCTACAAAGTTCATTTTTGAAACGTGCGAAAACTTTATAGGAAACAATTTGTTGCTCACATTTCAATATATCGAAAGATATCATAAAAATCGAAATTCATATCGTGAACTAAAAAGTTATGATAAACTGAAGAGATGACAATGGACATTTTTTCGCGAATTCTGTACAAAATGATACATTTTAGATCGAAAAATAATTCAATTTCCCAACATATTAGATATATGAATCGAATCTCCAGAATATGCTTAATCATATTATGAAAAGACTACGTATATAAGTGCTATAATTGCGAAGTTACAAAGGTTTATATATTTACGCGCAAAGTTATTATTTTCTTAAATTTTCGAGTTTGGTCGCCTATAACTTTTTTCGGTACAATAGAAAAAAGTAGTCAAGCTGGCATATTATGTCATAATCATATATATTCAAGGTGGTGAAGGTCCTATATCTTTCTACTCTAGAAAAAAAAAGTCTGTAAGGAAGAGGATTTTGCCTCGTTCTCCTCTTAGATGTATATTGCCTATAGCACAACTTGTAAGCTGTGCCTGTGGAACTTATTCGGAGAATTCAGACGACCGACCGCAGATGCCTCAAGGGGTAACACTCAAGGCCGCTTTTACTCCTTCGGACAGGATTTTTACTTCCCCCTTTACACCTTAGATTAAGTTTGACCTTTTTCAGAGGGTAAACCCCATCTTAAGTAATCTATATTGAATTTCAATTTAATCATTACAATTAGTCATTACATTAACATTAATTGTAGTTAAACACTGACTTATTACACACTGCGTGTAAGCACTTCTAACATCATTTAGGTAATTATATGCATGGTTTTCAAAAGGTATAGTTTGATATTTTTGTTCTGTCCTATCCTAATTCTTCTCAGTTAACTCTGAGTGGCGCCCATAGTTTGCTTTACATCTTGTAGAAAAACAAATAGAAAATAATTTTCTCAAAATCCCACGACCGCTCTACGACTATAAAGGCCACCGTGCATTGAGGCTTTAATTTCTTTTTGTGAAGTTACGCCACAATTCATTGTAAATGTTGTTTTTTATTTCTAATTTTTAACAAAGGCTTTATACGAGCTTTTGATTGTATATTATTTTGAAATGTATTTTAGAAAGCTTCACATTTTGAACTGCATATTGTTTATTATATTTCATTTAAATATGTATATGTACGAGCTTTGTCAACAAATACGAATGTATCTATGGCAATAAAGCATATATTGAATTGAATTGAATGCGCATTACAAATTTATACGAAATTCACATCAATCGTAAAACGCAGGAGTTTTCCACTCCACGACTACAACATAATAATAATATAGTTTGCATGTTGGGAACCATTTCTATCGGTGATATAAATTTTCGTTTCAATCTACATAATTTAATTTACTAATGCATAGAGAAGATAATTTCGGTAGGTGTGAAGTTACTGAAGTTTGTGGTTTTATGAGCCAAGAAAGTAATGTGCAACAACACAGACAAGTTCACCAATCACCAGGTGAATATAAATATTTGTAACCATATCAAATAAGTTTACTTGAATATATTGTGAACATTTTCGTCATCAAATTCACGAATCCACAAAAAAAAGATTAGATTTTGTGTTCCTAATCTGACACGATCGTAAACGTTGAACACGAGTAGTAGATGATCCGAGTGTTTTTTCACGTGACCTCTCTGGATCAAGTTAACAACTTATGTAATTACTTACATAAACAAACGGAAGAAACTCGACATTCAAGTCAGAGACAAGAGAATAGGCAATAGAACATTAATTAGAATACATCACACTGGCATAACTACTATCTAGGCCACCATATGTCATACCTCATCATCCACAATATCTCGGGTAAATTGCTCGTCTGAAATAGCTTTTTCTCAATGTGCAAATTAAACCTCAAAACTGTCGTTCATGACATCGAGTCATATTTCTTAATCAACGATATCCTAGGGTGGATGGAGGTCACAGGAATGCTTCAAAAAATGTGCTAAAATACAGGGCATTCCATAAAAAAAATGATCCCAATCCACTAGATTTTTTTCAGTGCGCCCTCTACATTTGGCAATAATTTCTAGTTATGGACCTTCTTGTCTCATTCCCATTTGTTTTTTAATCAAGTTTCTAGCTATCATAGAACGCGAGCAATCGAGCTCCGACGCCCCACCCTTAATAGGTCCTGAATGCGTATGATTCATGTTCTCCAGTTCGATCAGTCTAGATAGTAGTTTAAGCCAGTGATGCATTATTTAAACGGTTATACAGGGTGATTCATTGGGAAATGCGCATACAGTAAGGGTAGATGGAGGACACCGAGGTGCTTCTGAATAATCCATATTTTATGAGTCTTATCATTCATTATAACCAAGATACAGGGTGATTTATTGAATTCCACCATTTTTTCAAATAGTCATAACTTATGAATTATTTTTTGATATTTGGTTTTCTTGTTCTGTATTCACAGTGGTGACGATTGATAATAAAAAAAAGTCTTATTCCAGGACCGGCCTTGAAAAAATTTACAAGTAGGTTTCGTGTCGAAACAACACCCTGTATATCAATATTTTGAAATCTCATTCACTTTGGGAAGAGCAGGAAAAAATAACCACCTCATTATTGAAACCTATAGATCTGACAAAGAACATACAAACCAAATATCAAAAAAATGTATGGGGTGGTTCATAAGTTATGATTGATTGGAAAAATGGGAAAAATTAATAAATCACCCTGTATCTTGGTTATAATGAAAGATAGAACCATGCGAAATTGATTATTCAGAAGCACCTCGGTGTCCTCCATCTATGTTTTCTGTATGCGCATTATCCAATGAATCACCCTGTAGAGAGAATAAATTATAAGTACCTAAATAGCAATGATATTGACATACCTGAATTCCAAACAGAAGCAACGAAGTGTCTCGATTCCATTATCAGTCGGTAAATCGAAAAAGGATCTTCTCTTTTCACTGACAATGAACACGGTATTGAATTCAGTTCACAAGAGAAGTCAATAGGACTCAAACATCCAATTGTTTTCTTGTAAACTTCAATTTTCTGACAAACTTGTGGATATAGTGGCTCAATTGATATACTGAAAACGAATGAAAAATATATTATTTGAAGTACAAAGAAATACTCTTTTTCTCCGATTGGCAGCAAATATTAATTTTGCTGACACATATCAATCATACTTTTCCTGCCTAGGCAGCAAAGTGGTTATTTTGCTGATTGATATGTATCAGCAAAATTAATAATCCATAAATCGTTTATAATTTCCTTCATATTTCATTCGAGACTTCTCCGGCAACAAATTAAACTCTATATGTTTTGCCACCTCCCTTATTTCTGGAGGTGTAAGTACTTCCAGGTCGCTATCACTGTCCATTATATGATAATTTAAATATACCGATATTTTTTCGCACAACTGTCAGAATTTTCATGAATTGTCAAACTATAATTATCATGGACAACTGCGATTTCTATTAAATTTAATTTTAATTGAACACTACAGGAAAAATAAAGAGATTGTTGGAATTGTAATAATTTGCAATTACAATATCCTCCTATATCAGTATGAACAATCGGAGAAAAAATTATATGTTCAACTCGGCAGTCAATCTACTACTTTGCTGCCTAGTTAAACAAATAACTATTGGTTCGTGTTCTACACGCTATTCTTATAGTACGCCAGTTGGTTTTTCAAATTTCAAGTATGAGTGTGTTCAGATAATTATTCATCTCTCTATCTTTTTCAGATGAAACACCCAATTTCCCGTTCTAGGATTAAGCGAAAATCGATGTCAATTGGATTCGCCCACCGACGTATACAGGGCGCTTCGATCGACTTTACACACGAGCACTTCTATTCAGATAATTGTCCATCAAATCTCGTTGCTGGAAAACATTGAAAAATCTCAGTGATTTCAAGGTTTTGGGGTGTGGACCATCGAGAACAGTCCGTTTAACCATTTATGGTATGTTTTTAATTATTTAATGTCGGCCCAGTACGCACTGCACTCGTCAACCACCTTTTCCAAGCCGATCACTGGGCACTACCATTGTCCGTTATTTCCTTGTTTATAGGACAGTGAATGAACTAAAAGACGAAACTAAAAGTGGAATATACGAAATACTATAGTACAGTCGTATTCACACTAGTTATCTTAGAGCCCTCCCCGCTATCCTAGTCATTCTTCAAACAACTCGTGCACTAAATAATCGTGTCTCTAATATGCTTGCCGTCAAGTCAGTCATTATGAAACATTGAATTATATCTATTGAACAAACGATAAAAATTCAAAAACTAAATCTTCTGAGGTTGAGAATTTGCATTATCTTTCAGATAAAAATATTCATTTGCACATAACATCATTCTGATTATTTAACAGAAAACAACTACTTTCCTGGCTATCAGCCACGTCGAACATTGAATAATATCTGATAGTGGGAAATCACCACACCTGACTACAAGTCATATCAGAAACAATAATAAATAAAGCTCAAATCAGCTGTTTTCGAATTATCCATGTAAGTACGCTGCATGCAGCAGGAGAAGAAGAGGATATATCTTAACAAGGTACCGCCTGGTGTGTGATGAGAACTCGACCGACGACAGAGCGTTGGGCATGTAACCCAGATGTTGTGAGTTCGACTCTCACACGGAGCGGTGGAGTTTCTTCATTTTGCGTTGTCACTCGAAATTAGGGCTTTTCATCATCTTCATTATTATCTTAACAAGTAGCACAGAAACGGAAGCTTTGATTTACCCTTTGATGTTCGATGGCTCAAAATTCGTTACCTTGAATATTACCACCGTATATCGAAGACTGGAACCTTTGGAACGATAATACACTACACTGTTTTACCACTAACCAAACCGATTTTTTAATGCCTCGGCACGTGTTTCGCTAACTATGTTAGCATCTTCAGGAGAAGATTAAAACTGTTTTAATCTATGTTACTAACTAACTATGTTAAACTAACTATGTTAGCATCTTCAGGAGAAGATTAAAACTGTTTTAATCTTCTCCTGAAGATGCTAACATAGTCAGCGAAACACGTGTCGAGGCGTTAAAAAATCGGTTTGGTTAGTGGTAAAACAGTGTAGTGTATTACCACCGTACACAAGGAGAAAAATGTATCGTTGATTTCACACATCACACTGAAAAAACATGTTTGTAGATACTATTGGAAAAATGGTAAAGGTATTTCTGTGGCATATTCATAATGAAAAAAAAAAAAACTCATGTATTGACCAATTCTGCTACACAGATCAGTATCTGATAAAGTTCAATAATTGAAATAGAATGTTTCTGATTTTATATTTGGACAAGAAAGGTGTAGTGATCGCACCAGAGTTCAGCCCATCTTATTCTCTCTTTGCAACCATTATAACGATCTATTGATTCTGCTTTGTGATTTTCATCAATAAATATGTGAAAAATGAAAATTACACGAAAATAGGTATACTCAATAATGAAGTTGAGAAGAACTAGACTTTCAATGGATCCATTACACCATATCCTAAAACTTTCCTATAAATGGGCTTCACGTTGAATAAACCGGCTACGGTCCAAAACTACGATGAGAAACACAGACAACTACGACCAGGACACCGACAAAAATCAACCCGGAAAATGAATACGTTCCAAAATGTAGTAAACATATTTTGATGTAATACTTCAATCATAATTAACTATTCTAGAATTTAAAAAAATGCGATAAACTTACTTTTCGCCTTTAACATTGTTCACGAATCTTCCATGATTTTGTGAAAATATTATGATCTATAATAAGAATAATAAAATAAAACTGAACCAAAATGAAGTTTCTGCATTTTTTTTTCAAATAGTGGACTTTCACGGATCTGCAACTCCTAACATATGTGACCTAAAGAATTTTTTTAACCACAAAAAATGTAGGAAATTGTATCGTCTTCAACTTTGTTTACAACTTGTTTTGTCGTGGAAGTGAAACAATCGTGCATGAAACGTTGTATGTATTTCGGGCGTAAGTTGCCTCTAGGTGTTCTAAAAAAGATTACTTTAGGCCCTTGAAGTAGGAAAAAGGACACACTATATATGAGGACATGTTAGGAGAAATCGCTACAAGAGGTTCCCTAAACTAGACTCACCTTGCATCAGCCTGCATAAATATTCCAGCGTTGTAACAATTTTCAGATGATCCAATAATGCAAACTATTTCTTTATAATCCTGCATTATCTGTAACATTTCTTTGGTGACGTCTGGAGTACAGTCAGTAAATAAAGAAACAAGAAGTGGTACATTGTCAATGAGTTCAATATGTGGTCTTATTTTATCAATTCCTCGAGGTAATTTTGCCTAAAAAATCAACCTATTTATAAATCTTTCGAAAACGATAAAATTAACAGTAAATTTTTAAATCCATTACTTCATGAAGTTTGTATCAGTTCAATTCAATTTGTTTGAAATCAATGCTAACGATTTCATCATAAAACTTATATAGGGTGTCCCATTGGAAACCGGAAAAACTTCAATGGTGGGTAGAGGTCATCAAGGTGGATCTGAATATACCATATTTATATAATATTCGAGATATAGGGAGTTTCATCAATTTTGCTCAACTCTTTGTGAGGACAGAACTCACGAACCACCCAGTATATTTTTTTGGAATTGGGTGCACAAGTTCTTCTCCTACTCAGTCAGTCAGGGGAAATATCCAGGTCCGGATTAACAAGAATATGATAAATTTTTAAACATATTTGAAAAGTGCACAAAAAGCTGATTCGAATTGTGTAAGTAATTTTTGTTTTTATTTTCATTTATGAATTTCTGATTTTGAATTTTCCCAATTGAATAACAAAAATTACCGCAATTTGCTTCGATATCTTATTGAACACTCATCGTCAGCATTTTGTAACCCTGATTAATACACCAGTGTACATACATATACATCACATATTGCAATATTACTATTGAATACTCGTATTTGAGGAAGAAAATGATTAAAAATTGAAATGAATTAACAAATCAATCGACATAGTGACGTTATCACTGTAAAAACATTAGAACAATTAGAAGAAGAAAAATATACCTCCTCAATTAGGAAGAATTATAAAAATTGTTCAAAGTAGGATGTATTGATAATGTTTATATCCTTAACTCTGCCATACATTTTTATATCAGACACTGGAGGCGCAAGGATTTTTGCTATATTTGTTGATTTTAAACAAGCATTCGATTCGGTAAATCATGCGTTACTATGGAAAAATTGTTAGACCTGGCGGTTTCTCCTGAAATCATCTGCATAATAAGTCATTTGTATAATAACGCAACTATAAGAATAAAGGGTGAAAATGGCCTAACTAAAGCATTTGATGGAATAGAATAGAGCTTCATTCAGCATCGATAGCTATTACATTCGATATATATCACACATAAATAATATAATCTATACATTGAAATACATTCTTCTCAATCTTGTTTTGAAAATTCTTACATTTCCTAGAAGAGGTAGATCATTATACATTCTCAAACCTTCAATGAAGAGTTTTTTCCAAAGCATTTGTGGTTTTACGAGTGGTGTTTCACATGGGGAATCACTGAGTCCACTATTATTTTCATTTATTAATAGCTGACATCGAGAACATATTTTATTCTAACGGAGCTCAGGGAGTAAACATTGATAGTACAAATGATGTACTCACCTTACTTTATGCTGACGACATTGTTATTCTTGCCTACTCTGAGATAGACGTCGCAAAGAAACTTAGAATTTTGGAATTGTATACATCACTACTTGACCTTTCTGTCTACACTGCGAAAACTATTATGATGTCGTTTTCAAGGGGATGTTTCCAAGCAAGCTAGTATGGATTTTATTTTAATAATGAACCCGTTTCGGTAGTGAATAAATATGTTCATCTTGGCGTGACCTTCACCACAGTATCTGCAAAAAAGCAAAACAAGCCGTAGGTGCAATCATCCCAATCATATGTAAAGCCAAGATTGATACGTGTTTCCCTCGCGTAAATCCAACTGTTTGTCTGTTTGGGGACTGAGATACTTAGACATCTTAGAAAGGGTCTAAGTGATGTTTTTCAAAAAAATACTGCTTGTTCACACCGATTCTTCAGATTATGTGGTCCGATTGTCTTTAAAGTCCCCAGTATGGATGATGACCGACTACCAAAAATTTCTTTGAGACAGCAAAATAAATTCGCTGGGTACTATTGATGAAAAGTAATTTTTACTGAAGCTGGGGACTTGTGGAATGAAGCTGTACTTGAGGCAGAACAAGAAAACATATTATTTCAGCAAAATATTATGACAAACTTTTCGAAGCCGATATATCATTACTTCGAAGAAGCATCGTTTTGCCACTTTACAACAACTCTAGCCATTCCAAGGAGCCCAAATATTACTTGCTTTATCAACTTCCGATACAGGTACAAGATAAAATATCTCACTTAATTGACTCCAATCGAATATGAACCGTTCGTCACATTTTGTTTTGAATGCTCAATGTATGCCTCTCTTCCTTGGACAGTCTGTCAAGAGAGGATTTGAGGATCATATATATGAAATATTCTCAAACTCAGGTCATTTATTCTGAATTAATAGGTAGGAATAGGAATGGTTCAACTCACTCTTATTAATTCCCTTTTTTTCTCTATTTTAGTATTTGTATTTTTTCTCTCTCTCTTAGATTAATAATCACAGATTTAGTCTATATCTGACCCTTGCTGTAAAACTATCTTTTTAGAAGCAATACAGATATTATTATTATTATTATTATTGTTCAAAGTACCTTCCATTATGATCCATTTGCGCGATATAACGCAAACAAAATTTTCAGTCCTTCTAGTTTTTGATATACAGGGCGCAGTTGAAAATTCTCACTTTTTGAGAACCTTCCGTATTTTGGTTACTTTTCAACTTATCGGAAGAATGAGAACGGGGCCTTATATAACTTTCTACACATAGTACAGTGGCGTACTCATTTTATTTCTGTAATCGTTCATTTTTAGAAAATGTTGCCAAATTTTTTTTCAAATGGGACACCCTGTATATTTCTACCCAGTTCAAATCAGATTTCCTATAGCTTATCAAAAATATATAGTATTCGCCTTTTTTTCGAAGAGCAAATTATTTTAGCTCCATTTTGTAAAAATTAACTACTACAGAAATAAAATGATAAGAGTAACTACGATACGTGAGTTTCTCAAAAAGTGAGAATTTTCAACTTCGCCCTGTATCCCAAGAACATGAAGGACTGTTAAAATTCTGTTAGCGGCATTATTTGTTTCACGAATACGTAAGGAAGTAATGTGAAAACCGCAAAAGTCTATATCCATAGATAACTGTGATATCTCGCAAAAGATGGCAAAATCATTGAAAACTAGACACACTTTACAATAGAATATCGGAGCAAATTGCGGTAATTTTTGTTACTCGATTGGAAAAATTCAAAACATTCCATTTCACCTATCCAAATACATAAAATCTCGAATTGAAATTAATTAAAGAGCATGCGGGAAAATAGAATGACAACAATATGATTCAGCTTTTTGTGTACTCTTCAAATACATATGTAAGAGGATTTAGGAAATTTTAAATATATATGCTTTTCGTGAGAACCAGAAATATGATCAATTTTCGTTAATGACGACCTGGATTTTTCTCGTGCATGATAGGTAAGTCGGTTGGGGTAGAAGAAGAACTTGTGTACCAAGTCCCCAAAAAATAAACTGGGTGATTTTTATGTTATGTACTCACAACGAATTGAGCAAAATTGATGAAACACCCTAATCTCGAACATAAAACTTGTGAGACCTTACAATATGGTATAATCAGAACAACCTTATTGGTGACCTTTATCGACCGTTGAAGTTTCTCCGTTTCCCTATGAGACACCCTGTATTATTTGTTAGCAAACCATTTTTTTTAATTCGTCAATGAAATTTATAGTACAGATGCAGAATAGCCTGTTGAATATCATTAACAAATCACATGAAATTTACACTGTCCACCGAATCAGCTCATGTCTGGCAACACAATATCGCTCACCGGCGAAAATAGTTGCACATCTCAGAAAAGTTATAACACGTGAGATCATTTGAAATTTGATGAAGTTTCATCGATGAATACTGGCATGGAATTAGATCAGATAGTCGAGATGGCACTTGTGCCACTACAAGCTACCACGTGCTGAGCCCCTTAAGTTGCATCAATACCGGCATATTTTCAGTGTGCCTTTGGCTCTGCTTCGTAATGTTTGAGCAATAGTGACACATTAAAGAATTAGCAACGATTTCGTTTCAGAATTAGTGGCACATTTTGAGTTATGCCACTATAACATTGTGTTTCCTGTTATTTTAGTCAAATGTGCCAATATGCTAAATACATGGCATGGTTTATATATTTTATTGGTTACGGTGATTTTTGGTATTTTCCTATAAAGTAATGGTATATCTGGTACATTCTTGTTATATTCAAAGAAAATTTGGAAGTGTTTTTTAAACGTTTCATGAATTTTCATCCAAACTGTATAATTTGGTTTCAACAATAATGGCACATCTTACAAACTTCACTCTTTTTTTTGTAACAGAAAAATAACTCAATCCCCAATGATTATGCATACGATAACTTACTAATCATCATAGGCAAATCTATAAATGATATTCAAATGTTATTAAAAATGCAGTTTTCTCAAAAATATTCAATTTTGAGTTGTGCCACTATTGTAGTCGGTGAGCGACATGACAGACATTGTTTATACCAAAAATCGAATGCGCCGAGCTCTTTTCTGGTCTGTAGATTCCTAACCTTAGTAGTAATCGAAGTTTTAGAAAATGAACAATTGTTTTTGTTGCCTTTGGTATCCTGTCAATCGACAAGAATCATATATTACTTCTATAAATAAATATATAATTGTATAACATACCCTATTACTCATGTCGAAATTAATAGGTGCGCTTTGTTCAGTGCTTTCTGTTAGATTACTCAGTGATTGCCATTCATGGGTAGTACTATCTGCATGCAAGGGGATACTTTCCTGGCTGGTATAGTCATTATCACCACACTCACTCTGTTTCATCTCAATGTTGAATTTCTCTACTTCTGTGTCAAACTTAACAACTGAATATTCCATGTTTATAGCACTTGGGGCAGAAAAACTCATTGTCCTCGATGACTCTAGGTTACTAATAGAATAAAAATGAATTAAATACATATAGGGTTCAATGGAAGTATAAATGATTGAGATTTCATTGATCCATTAGATGCAGAATTAAAAATAAACGAGATGAAATAATAATCAATAGTTGGGGAACATTTTCATTCTTTATTCTCAATTCACAAACCAAGCCTTTAGTAGACAGTGAAAATATATATGTTCAAGTGAATGCAATGAGAATAAAGAAAAATCTGATCTGATAATCATGTTAAGATAGGTGTGTAAGTGGGGATAATTAACGTGAAAAAAACATTGCTAATTCGAAAATTAGTTATTGATATAGAAAACGAATAAACAGTATATGTATTTTTTTTCTAGTTTCAATGTTTCAATCATTCATACTCTTCATCAGATTCATAAGCATAACTAAATTCTGATTCATTCAGCCACTAGAATTCAAAACACTAATAATCACATGCAAGTAATGAAAAACGAAATTTCTGAAATCGAAAAACCAATGTTTGTAACATAGGTAGGTAACTACTGTCCTATTCAAAATTCAAAGAAAATTTGAACATTTGAAATGTGTTCTTCCGTTATCATTACATATTTTTTTATTTCAGCAGAAACAGTATCGCAAGATCAAAGTTTACACGAATTTGCAAAATATAATTCGAAATTTTCAGGGCATATTATGTTATTTTCTTCATGCTAAACATTGCGAAATATTCTTAGCAATTTTTTTGAAGAGAATTCAGCCCTACCACTGGATTCAGCCTCCTTCAGTTACGTTGATCGGACAATTTTATTGAAAATTTTCAATTGGAAACACAGTTGTAACAACATTCTGGTAATATACCATTTTTTATTCATATTTCAGACAAATTCTGAGGAGCGGCCACATTTCAACACAAATATCGGAAACTATTTAGGTTTTTGGTTGACATTTGATCTAATAACAAATTATTATCGAGTTATAACATCTAGAATTGCACCATTTTGGAATGAAGTAACGAAGTCAAAAAAACAGCTTCATACGAAAATGTAGCCTGGGGCTTGGGTGGCTACCAGGAGCGTCGGCAGGTGACGGATAGCCGGACGACCTGCAGCGCAGACTGTGCAACCACAGGCACGCTGCAGGCCACCACCGAATAAACAATAAGGTGGCGCTGAGCAACCCTCCAATCTAAGGTGTTACGCGATCCGTGCCGATGGATGCATGGCGGTGGGAGAGCACCGTCTCGAACGGAGCCTCGGGGATACCTGGCGACCTCCTCGAGTACCAGCCTTGCCACGCCGTGCGGGGCTCCGGCGTGGTCGACTGCCAATTCCCTAGCTATTCGTGGGACCAACATGAAGAAGGAAAAAAACACAAGCAAAGAAAAGATAGAGCGGGATGGCACCGCAACCCAGGACGCTCAACCGCGTCCTGGCACCTCTCAAGCACCGAGCTCACCTCGGGACACAGAGAGGGAAAAACAGAAGAAAGAGGGAAAACCAGCGGAGCAAACATCCGACAAGGGTTCCTCCTCCAGAAAATCCTTCGCGAAGAACCGGAGGAGACAAATGCCGCTGCCACCTCCAGGCAAGCCCGGAGGTATCGACGATCCGCTGAGAAGGGGCCTCAGCGGGGCAGGAGTAAGATGGTACCTTCGCTTCCTCGAACAGGGCTTGACACCGGAGGAAGCAAGAAGGAAAGCCGTCGAAAGGAAGAAACCCCAGGAGTTGCCACCTCAACAAACGGAGAAGAGGGGGCCTAAAACTCAAACGCCCCCTCAACGTCCGAATACGAAGAGGAGGAAAACTGAAGCGGGAAGTAGCACCGCCACTGCTAAGCAAACTGGGCAAACCACCAGCTATGCTGAGGCAGTCAGCACAATAAAAATAGCAGTCCTCCCAAAAAACTACCCGGAGGAGACGCTGAGTGCTGAGCAGCTTACAGCACTGGAGGACGCAATCGTGCAGGAGATGATACTGGGCGCGGAATGAAAACTCCAATTCGGGGGAATTCACTTCCGCCCCAGTATGCTCGTGGTAGACTGCGTCAACCAAGAAACGGCGGACTGGATGAGGGCAAAGGCCCCCAGTTTGAGCACCTGGGAGGGTTCAGCGCTGATGGTGTGCCTGGGAGACGACATCCCAAGGGCGCACACCATCACGGTGTTCTTTCCCAGGAGCACGGACCTCGAACCAGAGAAGTTGCTCACCCTAGTGAGCACACAGAATAGGGAGCTCCGAACCCAGCTATGGAAAACACTAGGAAGCAAGAAGGAGGGCAACGGCCAGCTCCTTAATCTTGGAATAGACGACGAGTCCTGCGAGGCCATCAGGAATATGGGTTACACCATATTCTACAGGTTCGGGAAAATCCCCGTTCATGGCCTTCGCAAGAACTCGACTGAAAAGAAAAAGGTAGAAGAGGGGAGCAAGACACCATCAGCTCCCACTGCCACAGAAACTACTGTGGCCAGCGAAGCCGAATCGACTGGGAGTATGGACCAGGATACCACGGTCATTCCCAGCGAAGAAGAGCTAATGCTGCTGGATGATGAGGAGGCAAGCACTCCAACACACTAGCAGCAATGGCTAATACAGCATCAGTCAGGTTTGCCCAGGTGAATACTCACCACGCTAAGGGGGCATCAGCCGCCTTATCGAGGGTGTTCACCGGGGCACACTTGGGAGTTGTGTTGATCCAAGAACCTCGGGTCAACAGAGGGCAGATTAAAGGACTGCCGAATAAAGAAGGTAAGGTTATCTGGGATGTCAGGCATGACAACCCTAGAGCTTGCATACTGATCAGGAATGACATTAATTATGTTTGTCTTTCAGAATTTATGACGAGGGACTTAGTGCCTGTACGGGTCAAGATCCACACAGGGCACTCACACCTCGACATAGTAATAGCTTCAGGTTACTTCGCTGGAGATGGGCAAGCACCACCAGAAGAGGTACAGAGGCTATCCGACTACTGCAGCAGGAGCAAACTACCCCTCCTGCTGGGCTGCGATGCCAATGCCCATAACACCATCTGGGGAAGTACGGACACCAATCAAAGAGGTGAGCAATTGCTAGAATTCATACTTGCGGCTAACTTAAGTATACTGAATGTGGGGTCTACCCCCACCTTTGTAACTAGGGCTAGACAAGAAGTATTAGATATAACGCTCGGCAGCCCGAGCATTAGTAGAAGGGTTAGACATTGGAAGGTCTCAGACGAACCCTCCCTCTCTGACCACAGAATCATAATGTTCAATGTAGAAGGGCTTGTGACAGAAACCACCTTCATTAGAAATCCTAGAAACACAGACTGGGAAAAATACACCACCAATCTTAAATGTAATTTAGAACAAATCAAGTTCAATGGCAAAAGTCACGTCGAATTTGAGCAGACATTAGAAGCAGTTAATGGGGCAATCATGGATGCATATGAATCCAGCTGCCCCATTAGAGAAAAGAAATCACACAGTGGTACCATTTGGTGGAATGAACACCTGTCAAATCTAAGATCTGAGGTCCGCCGGCTATTCAACAAGGCCAAGCGGGACGGAGATTGGCAGGGTTACACCGAAAGGCTGACGATTTACAACAAAGAAATAAGGAAAGCTAAGAGAAATAGCTTCAGGAACTTTTGTGAGACAATCACTTCAAGTCCACCTTCAGCCAGACTGTACAAGGCCATGGCGCGGGGCAGGGAGCAAGGACCAATGTCTCTCAGAAGATCAGATGGTAGCTATACAGAAGATGAAGAGCAACGAGCTCTCCTTTTACTGGAGACGCACTTTCCAGGTAGTACACCATATGATCCCGAAAGAACACTGGAAAAACAAGGCAGAGTAAAACGAGAAGACTGGGATGTTGCAAAAACCATTTGCACTCCGGCAAGGTTGAAGTGGGCAATCGACTCTTTCCAACCATTCAAGTCGTTCATTATCAAGGCAGCCAAACTCAGTCTGGCGTCCGGGTACATACCGAGCAGCTGGACGAGAGCGCGTGTGACTTTCATCCCCAAAGTAGGGAAGAAGGACCCTACCCTTCCGAAGTCATTCAGACCGATCTGTCTCACATCCTTCTTACTGAAGACACTGGAGAAGATCGTAGATAACTACATCAGATGTGAGATACTGGAGAGGGTGTCCTTGCACCTAGGACAGCATGCATATAGGGCGGGCAGATCAACCGAGACCGCCCTCTTCGTGCTCACCGAAAACATCCAGAGATCACTTGAGCATAAAGAAATCGCCATATGCGCATTTCTAGACATAGAGGGGGCATTTGACAACACCTCTCATGAAGCAATAAAGAGAGCTCTAATGAACAAGGGCGTGGACAGAACCACATCCAGATGGATGTGCCAAATGCTGACCACAAGAACAGCTGAAACGAAAGTGGGTGAGAACAGCTTTCAAATCAGTACGAACAGGGGCTGTCCACAAGGAGGGGTACTGTCACCCTTAATGTGGAGTCCAGTGGTAGACGAACTACTCGGGATTCTTACTGAGAACGGAGTAACTTGCTTTGGATATGCGGACGACATAGTCATCATGGCCAAAGGCAAATTTGAAGGCACCCTCTGCGACCTCATAGAGAGAGAGCTAGAGACTACCAGAAGATGGTGCCATTCGGTGGGGTTGAGAATTAACTCAACGAAAACCACATTGGTACCTTTTACTAGAAGAACGAAGGTTCAGCACTTAAGAGTCATCCGTCTAAACGGAGAAGACCTAGAATGGCAGCAAGAAGTGAAGTATCTAGGGCTCATCCTAGACTCAAAGCTTCTCTGGAATAGACACGTAGAAAAGATCGCCAGTAAGGCAAAATCATCACTGATGGTGTGCAGGAACCTTGCAGGCAAAACATGGGGATGTAACCCATCAATACTGCGATGGATGTACACCATGCTAGTGAGACCAATGATCACCTACAGAGCAGTAGTGTGGCACGGCAGAACCGAACTCGCCACTACAAGGAAAATATTAGAGAAGGTGCAAAGACTGGCATGTCTTTGCATAACAGGAGCAATGAGAT